CAGTGATAACTTTCAAAGAACCACTACCGTCATAACGTAAAGTTATTTTGGCAGGAAAACGATCTCTTTTGAATTATCTTTATGGAAATAGAAAAAAACGTAAGGTTGAACAGCAGAACGAAGTTGTTATATTTGAGTACTTCACGGGCAAACAGAAAACAAGATATTCTTAAATGGTGGAAGGAACACGAATTTGAATATCCACGCTTGGTTATGATGTCTAGGGATTATCATCAAATTAGTGCAACTAGCGTTCCAGTTGAACGGGTATTTGCTGAAGGCGCTGCACTTAATCGATGTTAAAAGAAGTAGTCTTGGAACAGATGCTATTTGTTCATACATGTGTCTAAATGTTTGGTGGGAATAGTGTCATTTAAGGCCACAATCGGTTACGTATCTTAAAGCGTTAGTAATGCGTTAGTAATAAATTCATGTAAATTATAAAATGCTAAAGAACGGTATAAATTAATCGTTATTAAAAAACTACGTATTAAAATTTTTTTTTTTTTATTAGCGTTAGTGTTAGATATGATTTTATTAACTAGTAAAACCCGGGTTTTGCTCTGGTCAAGCATGGGCTAACCCGATAACTACCCGGTCGACCGTTTCGGAGCGCTAGTTAAGAGTCTTAACGATTGGAATCGAATATTGAACCCTGTTGAACAAAGACTTGGGAAAGAGCGTTATCTTTAGCTTCCAACTGAAGCATACAATTAGTAAGAGTACGATGGGACAAGTGTGTTACGGCATCACGATTATCACGCAGAGATTCTAGAAAACTATTCTAGAAACCTAATGGAATATGTAAAATTTTTTTTTGTAATAGCGTCAAGAACTATCTATAGACAGTTTGTGTATCTATCTTTATATGGCGATGATATGATCGATTTCTCCATATAAAGCCACATTAAAATTATATTATGTTTTTTAAAATCGTAACTCCTCAATGAATATGTCAAAATTTGCAAAAAAAATCCGTAATTTTGTAAAACTTATATAAGATTACAATGTAACGCATTTTTTTTTGTAAATTTTTAAGTATTCGTTGAGGTGTTACAATTTTGGATGTCTTTAGATATTGTGCACCGTAAAATATTATTTTCAAAACTTGATGTTAAGTTAAAACACTTATAAACAGGTTTTTTTAACATTATATTAGACCTATCAAATATAAAGCTAAACTCAATTAAACAATTTTTATCTTTATTTACAAGTTAAAAACTAGTAAATCAGTAAATTTACTAATTCTAGATGAATTTTTAAATAAACATTCTGATTATAAACTGATTAAATACTAATTGCAAATTATTAAATAATATTATTTTTATTGGTTTTGGATATTTTTTAATTTTTTAATCTAGCTCTCTATAGTTATATCCTTAGTTTCAAGAAATTCTGTGCTTATAAGAAATTGTGCTTGTATTAAAGTTAAATTTTTTATGTTTTATATATATTTGTTCTAAAATTAGTATACTTATAAAGAAGATATGACTATATAGAGAGTAACTATATAGAAAGCAGACTATATTTGATATAAAATTAGTTTAAAACTAGTTAACTTTATTTAAATTAATTTATTAATTTAAAATAGTAGTTGTTATTAATTTGTAATATTTAATTTAAGTATTTTAGTAACTATAATTGGTAGTGATCATTACTGGTATATAATTAGCCAATAGATTTGTAAAATCAGATGTAATATATAAATCAATTTGTATAATAATAATAAAGATATTTTTTAAAAAAATGATAATATCTCAAGAATTTACTTATAAAACTACCTTCAATATTCTAACAAAAAAAATTCTTTACTAAATTTTGCATATATTATATTCAACATCCTGTTAAAATATCAGACTCCACCCTAACTCTAAAGTAAATAAAATAATCTTTTTTGGCTTATTATTATTGGTTAATTATATACTAATGATAATCATTACTGATTATTTTAACTAAAATTCTTAATTTAAATTAACAAATATTTTATAATTAATAAAATTTTTTAATCTTTAATAACCTTGCTAGTAATCTTTTATTAAGATTATTATATAAATAAATTACATAATGCTAAACTTAATATTTAAACCCAATATTCTCTAACTGTATTTAGAAGCAATCTGCTATAATGGTCTAAAAGAAGACCAATATTAGATTAGCTGCACAAACTATATCAAAAAGATTTGCAACTATTTTGAATTAATTTTTTAATTTATGAACCATAAGTCATGTGAAGAATGATCATAGTGTAATATGATACAAATCACATATATAAATTACTATAGGTGAAAATGCAGTGTGCAACTAAGTAAAACTTTTTTATATTAAGTTAATTGATCTTCTACATTAAAAGAAAGTTGTAGGGCTCATCGAATCACATCTAATGATGGTTATATCATTTAAATCAGTTTAGTAGATGTTGAGATATTGTTAAAAAACATTCGCTAATTATATAAAATTCTATTTAAATATTAATATTGTTTATATAGAATTTTATATAGTTAGCAAAATGTTTTTTAATAATATCTTGGTATCCACTAAACTGATTTAGATGATCTAACTGTTGTTAAATGTGTTTCGACAAACTCTACAACTTTTTTTAATATAAAAGATCAATTAACTTAATATAAAAAAAGTTTTCTTTAGACGCACGTTGCATTTCCACCTATAATAATTTTTATATATAATCTGCATCACATTACACTATAATTATTCTTCATATGACACATAAATCATCAATTAAAATGCCAATTTCAAACAAAAAATGGCTAAAAAAAAAGTTAATTTTGATAATAAATAAACAAGAAAAAAAACAAAAGTTAAAAAAACAAATCTATTAAAAAAGAAAAAAGCAAAACTAGTAAAAATACAATAAAATAAAAACAATAAATATAACAAAAATCTAAAGCAAAGCAAGCAAAAAACAAGCAAAAATATAAAGAAACAAAATAAACAAAGGTGTAAAAAGACAAAACAAACAAAAAAAAACCAGCAAATATAAAAAAACAACTTAGCAAAAACTTAAAAAATAAAATTAGCAAAGTACAAAAAAAGCAAATCAACAATATATAAAAAAAGCAAATCAGCAAAATGCAAAAAGACAAAAACAGTAAAATATGAAAAAACAAAACCAATAAAATTAAAGTAACTAATAAAAATCTAAAGCAAACCTAATAAAATGCAAAAAGGCAAAATAGAAAAAATCTAAAAAGCAAAACTAGCAAAAATTAAAGCAAAATCAGCAAAAGCAAAACAAAACCAGTAAAGTACAATAAAACAAAATAAATAAAAATGCAAGAAGCAAAACTAACAAAATGCAAAAAGACAACCTAGTAAAAATTTAAAACAAAATCAGCAAAGTGCAAAAAAAGCAAATTAGCAAATGTACAAAAAGACAAAACTAACAAAGGCAAAACCAATAAAGTCAAAAAAACAACCAGTAAAAAACCAGAACAAAACCAGCAAAGTACAAAAAAGCAAAATCAACAAATGTAAAAAGCATATTAACAAAAATTCAAGAAAGCAAAAATAGCAAAATCCAAGGCAAAACCAGCAAAAGTACAAGGCAAAATCAGCAAAATGCAAAAAGACAACCTAGTGAAAATCTAAAGCAAAACAACAGATTAAAAGAGAAAAATCAGCAAAAATTCAAAAAGGAAAGAATAGCAAAATGCAAGAAGACAAGATAAGTAAAGTGAAAAAAAATAATTTGATGAAAATGAAAGAAGGCAAATCCACAGAAGCACAAGAAGGCAAAATTAGTGAAGGTGAAAGAAGGCAAAATTAGTAAAATGCAAAGAGGCAAAAATAGCAAAATGCAAAGAGGCAAAAGCAGCAAAATGCGAGAAGGCAAACCAGCAAAAATCCAAAAAAGCAAAAACAGCAAAGTGCAAGAAAGCAAACTAGCAAAAATGAAAAAAACAAGATCAGCAAAGCGCAAAAAAGTAAAACTAGTAAAAGTATAAAAATCGAAGTTAGTGAAAACTAGTGAAACATAAAAAAAAAGCAAAACAAAAAAAAAGAAAAAAGGCGAGCTAAATAAAAGCAAACATCAAGAAAATATAGAAACTCCAACAAACACTGAAATGACTCACCAAGAACGTCGAAGAAATACTTAAACACCGAACCTAAACGTTAGTATAGAGAAAATAAAACAAAATAAATACAAACGAAAAAAAATTACTAGAAAGAACGAAACAGCGAAAGACCACTCCAAAAAGATCGTCGAACCTAAAGAATCTAAAGCAAAAAAAAAAAAAAATTAGAAAAAAAAAATTAGAACAAATCTAAAGCTCACCCGGATAGTAAGTACCATTTTTTTTTTATTGTTATACAAAAAACTGCGAAGATCTTTAAAAATTGAAATTGTGCAGCATCTTGCAGTTTTTTTATCGAAGATAATCGATTTACTTTCCCGATGAGTGTTTCAATCTTTTAATTGAATATTTATTTTAATCGTGAAATATTCACGGATTCGACTCCTAACATCATTGAAAAATGCATTCATTTACCAACGTACTTCGACCCTTTTCAGGGTTTCGTCTTTTAGTAAAGTTTCAAAAGCTTCGTCTTTCTTCTGAAGTTTCGCCTTTTGCTAAGAGCTTCGTCCTTTGCGAGAAGTTTCGCTTTTCGTTAGGAGTTTCGCCTTTTGCCGTGGGTTTCGCCTTCCGCCACGTACACAATATGGCTTCTCCAAACGACTATCCCCGTTCTTTGATTTACGTTGGCCCAGACACACGAAATCTTAATCTATACAAGAGGATTGCTATTTTTTTTTGTTTTGTTGGTTGGATATCAGCTCCATTTATGTTTTTATACGGAAAGGCTCCTTCTGCTGCTTATTTAGGTAATTTAAAATAATTATTGATTTCATATACCATGTAAAAACTTGGCATTTTCGATTGCTTGACAGTTTTTTTGATGATAGCTGCATTCGCACCAATTCCTTCGATTATATTTATCAATTATATGACTGACACATACGTCAGTCGTTTGTTTATGTATCTTCCTCCGAGTCTGCGTTACAATCCAAAAAAACGCAAAGTATTTAATCCGTACGTGTTACACGCTTCAGGTGATCCTATTATAACAATAGAAATGTACGATTGGTTAACACGTCGCGTGGAAATTGATGTTAGATTGAGTGAATTAAAAGATTCCCAAAAAAAGAAATCACTAGTAACTTGGGTTAGGGATACTGATGGTAAATCAGGTAAAAGTAAATTTTATGTTGCAAAGAGCTTAATGAACCAAGATCCATTCTCTAAAGGATTAGTGGAATGGATTGAAAAAAATAGTAACTAGGGATGGGATCGGCTTAAGCAAGCCCGGCTCGAGCTGATAGTTCAAGCCAGCTCAAGTAAGTAAGTTAGCTTAACGTTAAGCTGGCACATTATTTATAGCTGTTCCGGTTGATATAATAAAAGTTATTTTTTGTATTAATGAGATCTTTATGACAATAATATCGATGCTATCAATTTTTTTTTCGTTTGACTGCTTGTCTGACATGTTTGATGTGTTTAGTATGTACGTTCTGTCAACTAATAAATCTTGACAAGAAATATAAAGCGGCTCCAAATATAAAATAAATTTTTATAATAATTTTTATCATACGAATATATAGGTGCTAATGTTAAAAAGTTAAACCATATTTTATATCGTTCGTGTTTAATAAACAGTTTTACTAAAAGCGACGGAAGTTTTTCAAAATGTCCATATCATTGAAAACGCTTGAAAACCCAATTTGTCAATTTTTTTTAAACTGATAAACCTTCTAAATCTTTTCCCATTATTTACCAGCGAAGATGTTTAAAAGTATCATATTCCTGTCTTCAACCAAAGATATGCGTACTGTACATATGTAGTCTTATAATACAGTCGGACCTCCCTAAATGCAACCTCTTTAAGTGCATAACCTCTCTAAATGCATAATATTGTTTTCTTTTTTTGTAAGTTTCTCATAACAATATTTAAAAAATTTAAAGTTTTTGCTATGCACATTTACTTGTCTATAATTATAACAATTAATTAAAGTACTTAAAATAAAATTTTTATATTTGCATTGATTCAAGCTATTTACTTCTAATTATTCTTTATTCAAATTGATTTATTTAAAATTAGCATTCAAGTTTATAAGTTTATATTATAATAAATTACAAATCTTTTATTTTATTTTATTTTTTAAAATAATTATTTAACATAACTATAGATGCTGGTGAAATTAATTATACCAATTTCACCAATTCACCACCAATTTTACCAATAGTGGTGAAATTATTTTATCACATTTCATCACATTTCACCAGCATCTATAAGCATAACTACTAACTCTAATCTAACCAATTTTTCATAATGCTAACCTTAATGCTAAACATCTACAAAATGATAATAATAGTACTAATACTAAACTTCTATAAGTAATAATACTAACTCTAATACTAAACTTTTATAAAATAATAAAAAGTTATCATAAAATAATGTGCAACTATACAGTAAAGTATATTAATATACTTTATAGAAAGCTAGTATAAAAATGTTATAAAAAACTTGTCACAAAATATTATATAAAACCTACTATGAATATTGTAACAAGCTATTATAAATATTATAGAAAACTTGAAATAGTATAAAAAAACTAAAGAAAAAAAGCATTAACAGTACTAAACAAACAAATTTGTACTTTTAACTTTATAATTACAATAGTATTTACTTGTTTATTATATAGATTTTAAAATATACTATATAGTGACAAAATTATCTTAAGCTGGATTTGGGTTTTATAGCTTAGTAATTAAGTTCTTAAACCCTCACAAACAAGGTTGATAATTCAAATTAGGCTAAAAGCAAATTATTTAATTTGTTTTTATAACTTTAAAGGACTATAATTAAATACAGAGCCCTGTAACTAAGTTCAAGTGCAGATATAATACTAGAATAAAAATTTTTAGAAAGAAATCTAAATGTAAAGAGTAAATACTATGTGTAACTGTGGTATTACAGAAGACTGTAGTTATAAAAATTGTACAAGTAAGTTCTTTGAGATTAAGCAGTACCAATATTCTTATATTTCTAGTTTAGGCAATACTAACATCTTTACATCTAACTTGTAGAGTACTTGCTTGGAAGAGTGATCAATGAACTGTATAAATAAGGTTTTATCTGAATTAAAAAAATATAAATACTTGCTTATACAGGTAAAAAGATAGCAATCCAGATATAAATCAGACACCAGCTTTTACTGTAAACTAATTATTAACTAATTACTGCCTGATTTATATTTATTGTTGTATCAAATCGTCAGTACAACAATCAATATAAATCAAGCAATAATCAGACAATAAACAGTTAGTAATCAGTTTAAAATCAGATGCCTGATTTATATCTGGTTTGTCATCTTTTTGTCTATATTAAGAGAGTAATTATTTAACCAAATTTAAAGTAATAAAAAAAGTACTAAACATATAGATGGTTTGTAATAAAAGGATTAGCCTTATCAGAATTAGAAATACCTCTAGCAGCACAGAATAAAAATATTATAGAAACAAAAAGTATGAAGGTTGTCTGATATTCTAAATATATGTAAAGATACTGAATTAAGCTCCAGTCATATCTATATAGAAGTCTTTAATAAACAAGTTTAGAATCTACTAACTTTTGAAGTTTATAAGACAAATAATAGTATAGTATTACTAGAATTAGTATAACTCTTTGGATATAACTAAACTTGTACTGGTTTTGTATAATAATATGCTAAAAGCAAGTATAATATAGTAGTATAGCATCACTAAAGTTAGTATAACTTTCTAAATACAATCAAAATTGTTTTGTATATTTGCGAAATATGTTTTAAACTCTATTATAGCAAGTAGTACTTAAAAAAACAGAAGAAAACACTGAGTATCTATATAATATTAAGATCTAAGGTATCTGTAATTAAGCTGTGATAACAAAAACTAACTTGAAATACAAATTAGTAATACCTAAGCAAAAATGTAAAAGAGGATATTTAACAATAAAATCATAACTTTGTTATATAGTAAATCTAAATAAACAGCAGTTTCTGATTTGAAATACAAGTTCCTGCAGATCTTGAACTATTGTCAGAACATCTTAAAGAAAACAATAATATGATATACTAAACTGAGAGATCATAAAAATCTATAATATAAAAGTTATCAATTTGGGAGTTGTATAGTTATAAAAAAATAAGTGATATAGAAAACATAGTTTAGCTAGATATAGTAGTTTTAGAATGCAAAAGTAATATCAAATACAAGTTTGATCTTCTTTATTAACAAGCAGTTTAATAGCAATATTTTTCTAAAGTAATAGCTATCTTAACTGCTAGTATTAGTTTTGGCTATAGCACTAATAATATAACTAAGATATATTTAGATATTTATTAGGCAGCTAAATAAATATCATTTCACTAGTTGAGTTAATATAGCCTAGTAATAGGTTGTAAAATAATTTAAAAATTATATATATACTTCTAAGTAGATTTAATAAAAGTATATTAGTTTTTCTAAGTTTAAAAAAAATCATTTTAAATTTTATAAAAAAATAATTTGAACAAAAAAGTTAACAAAAAAATTTATAAAAAAAAAACAAAAAATTAGTAAAAGATTTACAAAAAAAAATAAAAAAAAGTGTATTACTACTATAATATAGATGCATTTTATTAACATTTTTCTTATATATGTTCTTAAATTTTATTATATATTTTATAATATTATTATATATTTTTATTATTTTATTAGTTTATTTATATAGTTAATAATATATTTTATTTATTAGTAAATTCATACTCTTTTCGATGATTCTCTGAACAATAATAACAAAAAACTTAACTACAGAAAAATGATATAAGAACATCTAAAATAAATACTTTTCAGTCCTATTTTAGAGTAAAGCAGTTGTTTATGAAGTTTAAGAATGTAAAATATCAAGGAGCTGACATTTTTTGACTGTTTTTCTTGGGGTTAAATCTTTTTGCTTTTGTATAAACTCTTTAAGTTATTTGGCATCCAAACTAGAAGGTATTCTAAAAACTGTTTTTATCTTCATATAGATTATTGTCAACAAAGTTCAAGAAACATGATATACCAAGAAGCAGATA